AGTGCTCGAGTGCGGTTCAGATCGGTTTCCGACTCGGATTCGGTTTCGATTTCGTTATCGCGCAACCTCGCACCAGAGCTCCATTCTTGGTCTACGGATAACATAAAAAAAGCCCAGAAGAGAAATATAGAAAAGGTGCCTAATTTTTTGTAACACACTCGAAACGTGGTATGCCCCCGGCTAGAAACCAACGAAAAAGTTTAAGATAAAAAAAAGATGTAGTAGTAGTATCTGAAACCGAAAACCCAAGACATTTCAATCAATCAAAAAGACGCAAAACCTAATCGAAATTGTTAATCGAAAATTACACAAAATGGAAGAAACTGTTAAGACACAAAAGAGCCAAAAGCCATAAGCATGAGCCCGTCAAAAGTGAGAGTTTTCCGCGCCTGTGCCTGTGTGTGATGCGGTGTGTGGTGTGGTGTGGTGTTTGGTGTGTGCGGTGCGGTGTGTGCCCCGTGTTTGGAGCAATTTTGCCGTAGTTTCTTCATCTCGAGCTGCCTCTTCTCGATGGCTAAACAAACTTGCGACTCAATCACGACTAATTGCGCATGCGAGGCCGCTTTGTGCGTATTTAAAGCGCCGCCTGGTCACCTCGCCTCGCCTCGCCTCGCCTCGTCGTCCAGCCCGTGTGTACCACATATATTACAAAACCGGAGCTCGGCTGCTCCTTAATATGCGTGTCACGTTGTCGGCCATCAAGTTCAAATTGCATTCGCTGTCAACGCATTGCACCAGCAGCAGCAGCAGCAGCAACTGCAACACCAATTCTTCTGCCTCTGCTTGTGGCGGCACGCGTTGAAATTTTGAAATTAACACCCAGAGAGGGGTGACAGGGGGACAGGTGCAACTGGAGCACTCTGGCTGCTAATTAAGAAATAAAGAGTTATCAGCTGCTGCTGCTGATGCTGCTGCTGATGCTGCTGCTGATGCTGACAGCAGGACAACAGTCGCTAGGCCAGTTTTGGACAGGCGAATGACCCCTGGCCGCCGCTCGATAGGTTTTGGCAGGCGACATGAGCACTAATTAGTCGCTGCAAATGCTAAATGCAATCGCAGCTCGGCTCGCCGCCACTTGTTTGCTGAGCAGCATAAAAAAATCTACAAAAAACTAAAAGAAGGAACAGCGAAAAACGCTTCGACTTTAGCTGCAAATGCAAAGTGAGTTAATGCCGCGCCAGCCAGTTTTTCCTGCTCCCGACACTGTCAAATGCCAACTTTTAGCGGGCTGGGCGACTTGCGACTTGCGACTTGCGACTTGCTCGTGGGGCATTTAACTGCCAAGCTAATGCACTCACTCACAGATACTCACACACACAGTGGCACACACAGCTACCTTGGACAGGGATCTAATACAAGTGCAGTTAATTAATTTCTTTGTTGTTCTCTACGGTAAATCATGCCGTGTGTGCTGCTCCAATGTTGGTGTCGACTCTTCGCCTGAATTTTCGCACACACAGAACGAGAAGCACTCGGGAAAAATTGGAAAATTTCAAGAAATATCTTTTGGGAATGTACAGCATAAAATCTCAAAGTGAAATTGAAAAAGTGGCAGTCAAAAGTGAATTTAATGCTCTTTGAGGGTACTATAAATTTAGTCAGAAGCTTGAAACTCAGTGAAGAAATCGTTTCCGACCCCATAAACCATATATATTCTTGATCAGCATCAAAAGCTGAATCAATCTAGCCATGTCCGGTCGAAAAATAGAATTTTGAAATTTTTTCGAAAATTGAAAATTTTATAAGGGGTAACATCATTAAAATTGTCAAAATTTGACGAAAAATTGAATTTTTTAAATTTGAAAACCCAGTATGCAGATTTGTTAATCTAGTAATAACTAGAATAGAACAGCTTTCAGAACTGAAATTAACTCATTTTTGGCTTAACTATGATGTTTAAAAAACACTGATTACTTAAAAAAATGGCCTGTTTTTATACCTTTTTGCAGGCTATTATAATTTTAGTCCGAATCTTTTAAAAGCATCAACAAACGCAGTATGCAGATTTGTTAGCGCTATTAAAACTGACACAGAACAGCTTTCCGATTTGATATTAATGCGTTTCTAGCTTTATTACGAGGTTTGAAAAACGTTGATTATTCGAAAAAATTGACTGTTTTTATACCTTTTTGCAGGGTATTAGTATTAATCAGAAGCTTATAAAACAATGAAGGAATCATTTCCGACCCCATAAACCATATATATTCTTGATCAGCATCAAAAGCTGAATCAAAATAGCCATGTCCGGTCGAAAAATAAAATTTTGAAATTTTTCCGAAAATTGAAAATTTTATAAGGGGTTACATCATTAAAATTGTCAAAATTTGACAAAAAATTGAAATTTTTAAATTTGAAAACCCAGTATGCAGATTTGTTAACCCAATAAAAACTAGCACAGGAATGCTTTCCGAATTGAAATTGATGCATTTTTGGCTTAGTTATGATCGATTGAACATTCGAACCCATGATCCTATGGCTAACTGCAATTCCCTTTCTTGTTTATATTTATAGTAATTAATGATTGTTTCTTTTAACAAACAATAAATTCAGAGCTTATTTAAAACCATTTCACACCAAGTATACATAGTTTTTCAATGTGCATTGATGGTATAAGAACTGAGATCAGAACTCCTCTGACTTCCCACTGTTTATTGAGGAGTTTTCCACCGCCTGAGCTGGTGCCGCGAATTTTCCGCCAAGGCCTCCGCTGCCACGTCTTTGACTTTGTCTTTTGTTGCAGCTACTTGAACTGCATTTGCATATAAATTAGTTTTGATAGCGCTCCATGGGTCCCCAGCAGCCGAAGCAGCAGCAGTTTGATGTTTGTTCTTCGAATGCGTTGCGAAAAATCAACTTGCAGCGTGCAACTTGCAACTTGCAACTTGCGGCTGCAACTGGCTAACGGTATTCATTAAGTGAAGTACAGCAAAAATGGGATGGCTGCAAGGAAAGGGGTACAGAATGGGGGAAATCAAGCGATAAGTCGGCAATAAAAATTGGCAGCACTTTGGCACAATTAAGGCAAGGGGCTGGCAACAAAAGATCTGGCCTGGCCATCAGCTAACTGGCCAACTGGCTCTGTCGCCGTCCCTGGCTCTGCACCAGTTAATTGTTGGCCGTTGACAACTTCCACTCGTCGTCGTCGTCGTGCCACAAGGAAGCATACCATTAGGCCGCAAAGAAGTGCAAATTCACATTTAATGAGCCCCTGGCAGCAGCGGGGAGGGGGCCCAGGCGAAAGGGGGCAGGAAGCTGCGGTCTGAGGCATCTGAAAGTGATTCTTGCGGTGCCACGACCAGCCATCCAGCCATCGAAGCGGTTGCTAATACCATTACCACAGGGAAAAGATAAACAAAGGAAATAAGTGGTAAATTGCAAAATTATAACCATGAAGAAAATTAATAATGTACAAATTATTTATTTATTGAAAAAGAAAGAACAGGTACCAGAGCATTTTTTTCACAGTTAGATGTTGCTTGAAAAATCTTACATAGATTTGACAAAAGCCTAACTATGCTCCAAAATGTGCTCTTATTCTTTAAGATTTCTTTTGCTAAATATTCAATTTTAAAAATGTTTCTAAAGCATTTGTTGTACTTCTTTCTTCTGGCCTAAATCTATACTTTTTCTTTAGCTTACCTTTGTAAATATTTCTTTTAAAGTTTACTTAAGCTATAGCTTTGTCTCTCCTCTTGATTTATCGCCTCTAACTTTTCTCAAGTCAATAAAATTTGTTTTTAATGCACATTTGAATCCGATTTATTGCCCCAAGTGGGAGAAACCTCAATTTGTTAGCCCAATTACTGGCGGTGCTAATGTTCCTCTCACCCAGTTAAGCATCTTTAAATTTAAAGACCGTCCGGCCCGTGGAAGTCAGTGTTGCCTCCCCCGGAATTGTCACTTTCGAATCGGAGATCCGAAATTATAAACACGAAAACATTAATTCGTTAAATCGTCGTCGCTTTCAACTGTCACTTTTGAGTGGTCCGTGGCTGTGAAATGCAATTTCCATTTCCATAACGCCTCATAACTCGAGATAGCCATCAATTTGTTGTGTTTTTATGTTTTGCCTGGGTCTGGGCCTGGGCCAACCTGGCATTTACCAACCTGCAGACTGACTGTGTGTGCTCCCCCTGATATACATCAATTTTTGGCAATTCCGTGGCGGCTACCAGCGGATCGAATGCAAATAGGGCTAGAGCTTGGCCTAATCACACGGCTGGGGATGTCGGGGTCGGCGGGGAGCTCTTTTGTTTTTGCATAAATTTGGGCTAAGAGTGAAGCCGAAAATCGGTGCTGGGCAGGCATGTGATTTCTAATTCGATCGTTGGCCCATTTCCATTAACAGCTCTACTTCTGTTTCTCTGTTTTGCAGCCCACGAAAGCCCGCCCACGTCTGCGCGAGGTGGTGAGAAAATAAAAAGAAATCAACCCAAAACAACAAAAGTGAAAAACAATAAAGGCCGAGGAAAATCGCGGTGCAATAAAACAAAAAAGCCCAACTAAATCACAAGCGAAATAAATATATATTTTCAGTTCGAGCCGCGGCAATAAACAGAAAACAAATAAAGCCACAGCCAGAGCGAAGAAGAAAGGGTCCCATCCTCAATTAATTAAGAGTGCTGCTTTCGTTGCATTTATTGCCTCGCATCGACCACAGAAACTGGCTCACACAAACTCACACAGCTTTATTTACGGCATCGCAGTGAAATGCAAATCAATTAAACGCAATATTGTTATTATAAAAAACAAAGAAGAAAACGGAATTCCAGAGATACCAAAAACCCCAAAACGAAAAGAAATGTTCGCTACAATTTGATTTGCCATTAGCCAAGGATTTAACGTGTTTTATTAGCCATGAAAACTATGGAAAGTCCGAAGAAAAGTAATTAACAAAAATTCCATCGAGGTGTGCGTGTGCAAATATCAATAAAAGAAATATTAGTTTATAATTGGAAAATCGTAAATCAAAAAGCCGCCAAGTGACCAAAATGGCAAAGAGTGAAAATCAAAGTTAATAATCCGTCCAAAGTGCTGCGTTCTAAATACTTTATTAAACATTAAACAGACTCCATATAAATCCAGCCAGAAGATTAACGATTTACTCCAGATACCACAACAGAAACAGAACTGAACGTCTAGAGTAAGTCTATCCAGATATTTATTTTACTGTTTAAGCTTTCACCTGACGCCAAAGTTTACGATGATATTTCGAAACCATAAACTTCCATTTCTAAGTATATTATTAAAAAAATCTTTAAAACTGACTGAAGACATGTCGATAGCTGGATTAATAGCCGCAATCATTCTATTTACGGTTCCCAGCCCGGACTAATATTTTAATGATCAGTCTGGGACCTCTTAATTGGGGAATCGCCCGTTAGGTTCAATGACTAATTTACAAAGGCCTTTAGAATTTCCTGACTCCACAAATTTACTGCGAAATTAACATCAGCATTTGTTTTATAATCCCGAAAATTGTTGGCACCTGTAGGTAATAATTTTGCCGACTAATTTGATGGCCCCGCTTAATTTGCCCAGCCATTCTAATTTCGCAATAGTTGCCGCATCGAAATCTTGGCCATAAATCAGAGGTTGGCCATTATCCGGCGTGTGGTATTATAAAACCCCCCGACGAAGTCTGAGGTTGTGTCAACTGCGTTTCTTCGTCGTTTTATTAGCGAAAGTCATCGAGCAGAATAATTGTTGTTCCCCCAATTCCTCCGGTATTCCAACATAGCCATCCTATATGTACTTATACATATATATATATCTATATATATATAGTAGTAAGTAGTGGCAGTAGCAATACCATTCCGTTCAGGCGGCAATCAAAGCGCGCGCTCATAAAGCGCAATTCACTTGCGCGTAAAACAAAATTTGTCCTCTTACTCTTAACCAATTTCGGTGGCTCTGGGCCTTTCGGCTTGCCAACGCCAGCAAACTGTGACCATCTTTTGGCGGTGCGGCTGGCTTCCAGCGGTTATATAATTTACCGAAGCCATTATTCCATTTGTACAACTTCAGGCGCAAAATTATTTAAATGCGTCAAAAGTTTCTGTCGCTCTGGGAAATTGTGAAATTATATCTGCGCGATAGTTTAATTTCTGATTATTATGGCTATTGGGAAAGACCTTGGCTCCTCGGACAGTTATACAATAAAAGTGCAGTGGCCTTAGGCCGCACTTGCCTAAATTGGCAGTCTTGAGTGGCAGTCAAGAAACTACAGGAAAAAGCCTGGCCAAGATATAATAGAGTGCATAAATGTATTTACATTTTATTGTATCAATAAAGGAAAATGCTCTAAGGAGAGCTTAATAGGCGGTTCTTAAAATCATGTTAGCCTTACCACAGCTCTGTCATTACATTCCAGAATTTGTAAATATTTTCCCACCATATAATTGATGGTCGGTTCCTGGTGGTTTTAATTTCCATAATTCATGCCCGATGCCTTTCAGAACGTAGCGTGTATGAGGCAATACCCATGACTCCCGCCCTCGAGCCTAAATGATAAATGCATTATTCAAGAGTTGACAAAGAAGTTCCCAGGCAAACAATGACAATGAATTATGCCATAAAGTAAAGCAACTTTATTCCCGAAAATGATCTGGAACTCCATTATTATCCAAGACTTGGATGTCATTCACAGTCAATCAATAAATGAGATCAATAGGAAGATCTGGCCATGAATGAGTGCACTATATAAACTATATGCTAGGCATAAGAGCTGCTGCCCCCGATTACTGTCTATTAGGCTGATTTTATGACATCAACACAGATTTAACATTTACAGCTACAAGCAGCAATTAAAGTCTAGACGGCAAATGCAATCGTCGAATTAATCATTGGCCAACTGAGAGGCGAGCGAATGAATGCATGAATGAATGAATGAATGAATGACTGAATGAATTAACGAACGGAACGGTCTGTGATTATGAATGGCAAACATCCAGCGGCAGATATGTAATTATTTTTGCATTAATTGCGGACACACAAAGCCATTAACATTAACACTCTTGACACTCTTCGCGTGGACTGCGGCCCGCGGATCTAGTTTAAATGAGTCTGGAGGTGTGAATCGGTCCAATTGATGTGGCACTCTGGCACTCCTTGAGAGCGTTAAAAAACCCTTGGGCATTTGATTCTCCATTCTATTTTGCCACTTTTCTTTTCTTTACCAACTTTCTGGCCAGCTCATCTGCCCGGGGAGGCACTCGAGATGTCAGCGAAAAATAAAAGACAAGTGAATGTTGATTGACCCACTGGATAAGGGTTTACACTTGTCGTAAATATTGTTAATTTCTAATGGAAATTGAAAAGTTAATAAAATATCAATTGGTAAATAGGAAATGCATTTATTTGTTGTACAAAATATTCAGTTAATTCCCCAAATCCCATAGCTACTTTATCAATATATTTTACCCTGGATTTGGAAAGTTTTCTCTCAGTGCTTGGATGGCCATCTCCGCTCCGGGGCGTGCTCCAAGTGACGCGACTGGGCAACGTGCATTTCATGCAAATTAACGATAAGACCCAACCTATCCGATCCCTTCGACTGCCATCATTAGGGACACTCACTTACTTTGAGCTCTTTTCACTTTCAATCTGTCAAATTGTCACACACCGAGTGCTGCTAAGCCGAGAGCTGAACTGAAAAGTGATTGCGATTGCACGACTTCCTTGCGAATTCAGTGGCCTGGCCTCTGGTATTTACCTCTCCTCACTGAAAGTGTTACGCTGCCTCACTGAGGAGACTGTGGGACTGTTACTTTTCAACTCCGATCGGAGGCCCTCATTTTCGGCCAATTCGGATCGTTACGGTTACGCACGTGTTGCGGTAACTTCCTCAAGGGACCATGATCGTGCCCGAAATGGGGTCTTTCAATTTACCAATCCGCCGCTGCGACCGTTATGAAATCGAAAATGAAGCTATTTAGAAAAGAGCTGGATGGCTGGGAAAAGAAGAAAAGCTGAATCAAAGTGGAAATGAAAACCAAAATTAATTATGCCGAGGAGAGGAAAATAAATTACGAGAAGTCACTTTAGAACAGGCCGACCTCAAAAGCTGCAGCGTCATGCGGCTTGAGCCTGGCCAAGACAAAGTAAATATTTGGACAATGGAAAACAAAGCAGGGCCAAGTTGAGCTCCCGCCCCTTTAGCCCACTCCCCGGCTCTCGGAAAATGAGGGGAAAACCCACAAAGGCCAGGCGAAAACAAAGACGAAGAAAGGAGGGAAAACAAACAAACAAACTAACAAACAAACAACAATAACACCTGGGGGCCCTCAACTTGGCTCAGTCAGAGGTGCAAGTGCAGCTCAGACGCAGCCACAGGTTGCATAGCACTTGACCATGCCCACCGGTGACTGGCCACTGACCACCGGCCATTGGCCATTGGCCATTGGCCATTAGCCGCGTGAGGTTAATAAACCAGGGGAGCCGAGCCCGCTCCGGCTGTGATTTATGCTCGTGGCCCAGTCTCGGACACTTAACAGGTTGGAAACGTGTTGCTTTTATATTTCGGACCATCCGAAATGGATGCTCTGCCTAATGGCTCGCATCCAGAGGATGCACTCACTGTGTTCCACGTTGCGTATGCGTAATGTGAGCCAGCTACGGCGCAATTAATTAACGCTCGCCGCTTGACTTGATGTGTTCAATCAGCAAAAAAACAGGCGCCAGAGTGCAACAGTTGTTCCATAAAGTCTGCTGACGGGTGAAAAAATAAAGAAAATGAAAGTAGAGAAGCAATCAGCATCCTGCGATGGCTAACAAGCTGCAAAGTAAAATCTAATTAAAAATGCAAGGCCAAAAACACTAATTACTAATTAGCTTAATGAGAATACGCTTATAAACTGTAAATAAACTTTCATATATTTCGTCAAGAGATCCTCTTTTTATGGCTCTTTATATACCAGGACTTTGACTCTATTTTGAGTTGAATATAAAACTGGCACTGCCTGTAATCATAGCTCTAGCGACTTTTAATAATAAGCAAGTTACTACCAAAGAACATTTTCCGTATCGCGTAAAACGGTTTCTGTCTATTAATCGCTATATCAAATGCCTGTCATTTATCATGCTGAACCATGGGCTCTATATTTCCCAGGTTATAACGAGATTTTAAACACTTCTTTCAATTTACTGCGTTGCTTCTGCTTCCGTTCTCGAGCGCAAGTCGGAGTCGTCGTTCTTGGCTTGGCTTCTTTTGATTTTCACAGTGATAAGCGACCGGCTCAGGTGCAACGACTTTTCCCCCTCACTGTGGCAGATACTACACAGATATTATTCCCTTATTCCGTGCCAGGTTCTTCCGTAGTCGTCGCAGCATCGAGTGAGTGAGAGAGTGCCCGCCTCCAGGTATGGATGGATTTCACATGGCCGGGCCACTCAAAAATTGTGTTTGCGTTACGCGCAGTGATTATAACAAGCTCCCTGTCCCGTGCTTGGAGCCTCTGAATCTCCAGTGCCCCCACCTGGCTCACAAAACCCTCTTACGAAATCTCAAAAGATGCCGCCAGCAGCTCAGCTTCAGCTGGAGATTCTCCCCTGTCCAACTGGAAGTAAACCCTTCTTAGATGCAGTGGGGACAAAAGGGGAGCTAGTTCTACCTAATAAGAAATTATCTATTCATTTTCCAGAGACGTCTTATTTATAATTATATATCAATTCGGTTGAGATATTGTCCTTCAAAATGTGTTCATATTTACGCAAGAATTCCTTCTGTTTGCTTTCAAGCATTATAATTATATCAACAATTTGATTACTGAAAATATTCATAGATTATTAGTGAAATTTTTAAACTATACCTCAAATTGTTTTCCGTGCATCATATGGATGCGTGTCAGGCTGGTTCCCGTCGCTCGTGGCTTGTGTGATCCAGTTGTTTATCTTTTTCATTAGCCTGGGCGGCCTGTCATCTGTGCCGTCGCCTGTCGATCGCCGGCCGATTGACAAAACGCCAACCGGGTAACCCCCATCTCCTCGGAAGCTGATACCTGATGCTGGAGCAGATGCCGATGCCCCCAGACCCAGGCTCAGCCTCCGTCCCCCATACCTGTCCCTGTCCCATTCCATTCAGAGCTCTTAACTAAACGGGCTGAGACTTTTCCTCACTTTACTACACGCCAACAGCGGTGGCAAAGGGCAGGGGCACGGGGAAGTTAAGTGACTGACGCAAATTGCGCAATTGTTATTACAATTACTCTCTTCCACTAAGTTGGCTGCTGCCGCTGCTGCAGGCCGGGCTCTAAGTTGAGCTGAGCCAAGAGTTCAGTTGAGATGAGCAGAGCTACTAAGCACGTACTTGCAGAGACAGAAAATGGGGGTTAGCTTTTAATTGGTTCATTTTTGAGCTGAAAAAGTTAAAAAGCTTAAAATAAATAGAACATATAATTCTTAATATAATCTATAATAACTAAGCTTAAAATATACGCATTCTTTAAAAAGATATTTATGTCATTTTTTATTTGGCAATTTATTTGACTAATCAAAGTTTAAAAATCTCATAACTAAGCCAAAAACACATTTATTTCAATTCGGGAACCCTTCCTATGTTAGGTTTTATTAGGTTAACAAATCTGCATACTCAGTTTAAGATTTAAAAAAATTAAAATTTTTGTCAATTTTTGACAATTTTAATGATGTAACCCCTTATAAAATTTTCAATTTTCGAAAAAATTTCAAAATTCTATTTTTCGACCGGACATGGCTAGTTTTATTCAGTTTTTGATGCTGATCAAGAATATATATGGTTTATGGGGTCGGAAATTATTCCTTCATTGTGTTATAAGCTTCTGATTAATACTAATAACCTGCAAAAAGGTATAAAAACTGGCATTTTTTTCGAATTATCAAAGTTTTTTAAACCTCGTAATAAAGCCAGAAATGCATTAATTTCAAATCGGAAAGCTGTTCTGTGTCAGTTTTAATAGCGCTAACAAATCTGAATACTGTGTTTGTTGATGCTGTTAAAAGATTCGGACTAAAATTATAATAACCTGCTAAAAGGTATAAAAACAGACAATTTTTTTAAGTAATCTGTGTTTTTAAAAACATCATATATAAGCCAAAAATGAGGTAATTTCAATTCTGAAAGCTGTTCTATGCTAGTTTTTACTAGATTAACAAATCTGCATACTGGGTTTTCAAAATTAAAAATTCCATTTTTTGACAAATTTTGACAATTTTAATGATGTAACCCCTTATAAAATTTTCAATTTTCTAAAAAATTTAAAATTTTTATTTTTCGACCAGGCATAGCTAGATCGATCCGTCTTTTAATTCTGATCAAGAATTTATATGAATTATTGGGTCGGAAATGATTCCTTCACATCGTTTCAAGATTCTGACTAAAATTAGAATACCCCTAAAGGGTATAAAACAAAGATTTTTTGAAGCCTTTTTTACTAACATTTTAAAACGAAAATTAAACTTTAAAATAGTTTTTATACTTCTAGTTAAGTTTCACTATCTTTTATGTATTTCTCGAGATGATTTTGGTAAAAAGAGAAAGTGAAGCCAAGAAGCAGAACTCATATTTATTCTTTTAGAAAATTATTAATGCTTTAGTGCTGATTTCGGTAAAAGAAATCGAATTAAACTTTTATTGTCAGCCATAAAAATTCTGTTCTGTATTTAACTCAATCCAAGATCATTTCGAACAGTGTTCTTTGCAGTTTTGGTAACATTTTTCTAATACCGAGCAGTTGTTTGTTGTTGTTTGCTGGAAAATTATTTGGCCCTCGGCCGGATTGGAGGCTTCGCTTCCATCTGTCTTGGCTGTCCGTCTGTCTGGGCCTGAGTCGATGTCGAAGTAGAAGTCGATGTCTGGTGATTTGACTGTTTGTCAGTCTGGTGGTTCTGGCCATGGCTACCCGTCTTTGGCTCGTTTTGGCCTCCTAAAGATAGTCATTAGCACGAGAGATTGGCTGTTGCTACTTGGCTCTTTTTGTTAACCAAGCTTCAGTTTCAGCTTCTGCTTCTGTTTTTGTTTTCGGGGCGTTTAAACGGGGTAATTACGTTTCGGGTATTTTTCGACCAGCTAGCAAAAAAACACAAAACAAAAACGGCCCAAACTCAGCAGAAAGAGTGGAAAAAGTGAGCTGCCACCGCTTTCGTTGAGGAAATGAAAACGTAACGAAATCGATTTCCAACGGTTCATGCGCCGAATGGATCGCTATATAGCCATAAAGCCATATAGCCATACAGCCGGCGTGTGGCAGGGGCAAGCACATCTTTACCCCCGCCGCTCCCAATTGGAAATAGAGTTATTAGGAGTGAACGTTAGCGTTACGTTTGCCTTCGCCTATACCTCTGCGTTTTTACCTTTGCGTTTGCCTTTCTGGCCCACTGGAGTCCATTGAGTAGTCGACAGTCGGCTCTCAGACTCTCAGATGGCCAATTCATGAATCGATTCGAGAGGCCCATAGAGAACACGGCACGAAATCGGCCACGGAGTGAGCAAAATGTTCGGGGCCAGAGCTGAAATTAATCTTGGGGCACATGTTCATCCGCAACATATCAATTTCGGTTTCAATCAACATGGACATGAAGCGTTTTCCAAGCCAATGATGTGCACAAAGTATTTTGGTATCAGATTGCATTTGAACGTTTTGTAATTATAATCAACATTAAGATGATTAGGCGATAAACGGGATTTTTATGGGGTCTACTTTGAGCTCATCCCATATATGATCGTCCATCGGATGAGTATTGATTGGGAGAATGCATTTTAAGGTGAATATCAATGAGTATTTGATTGCCGGTAATGTGCGTTGAAAGCGGATCTCAATGATGAGAAACAGATGGGTACAAGTGCCTCGAATAGAGTTTTAAATTATGCCTATAAATCATTGGCTGTAATTGTTATAGAAAATGATTGGAAGTATCTATCTTGTCTAATTTTGTATTTGATATTTTAAAGGTAATATAGGTTCACAGCCTCCAATCAAGTACAGCAGTCTTATTCCCAGTTCCAAAGGATTTATCTAACATTATCATTCTGTTACACATAAATCTCTGGCAAATCAAACACTTTCTCCTCCAGCATCCCGTAAAGTTTCTTGATCTTTGCTTCCGTTAAAATTGCATAATGTTCCCAAGTGTCGCACATTTGCCCCAAGCCCGCCTCCAAAGTGTTGTCAGCACATCCGCGAGAGCCACGACTCCTGCCACATTTCCTTGCCACATTGGCACATTGCCCCCACTATCATCACAGTCATCATCATCATCCTCATCGTGGTCATATACGGCAATCATCGTGATGATGACGAGATCTGGTGATTACGATCTTGGTGCGGCTAATGCCGCCATCTCGTGAGTGTGGGTTGTCTGGTGGGTGGGCCGGCTCCAGCACCAGCAGGAGCTCCAGCTCTAGGTCCAGGTCCAGCTCTAGCTCCCGCTCAAGTGCTCTCCACATGCATGACCGCTTATAGTTAGATATTCCGCAGTTAGCCCACTAATTACAGCCGGGCACATTCCGCCCGACATTCTCGACAGCATAAAACATAGCTCGGTGCGGCGCGCCGCGGCACAATAAAAAAAAATAAAAACTACTCTCTAACAACCGACTTCTTGTGGCCATACCGATACTGATTATTATTATTCCCCGTGCAATCCATTGCAGACATGCGCCCGGCACGTTACCGATGAAGCAAGCCACTTTAATCAGACCCAGACACAGACCCAGGTGAGTTGACAACCCCGGGGAAGGGACGCGGCATGGGATGCAGCAGAAGCCAGCGATGTGTGCTACCAGTTTAGGTTACAAACTATAAAGGCAAACATCTAATTTGGCCAGCAATGGATTGGCTAAACTTTAATTAAATTTGTACGAAAAAACCACGAAGAAAGCCAAACTGAAAGAAGCGGCAACGATTCCGCTTTGATGAGCTGCACTGAGGATGGAATGGGATGGGTTGGGTTGGGCATGGCATCGCTATCGCCATCGCCATCGCCATCGTTGCACTTGCTTTTGGGACAAGAAATTATTAATTGTAGCATGTGTCGTCTGACGTCGTGCGATCGCAATACATTTTTTTCAGTCTTGTTCGACAATAAAACAAGACGGCAGCCGCGAAAAAAAAACTGATTATGAAGCAAAAGTGAAAAGTTGTAATTAAACCAGTCACTGACTGCACAGCAGCAACACAAAAACAAACTGCAGCGACAGCGGCAACATCTGCAACAGCAACAGCAACAGCAGCAACAGCAACATCTGCAACAGCAATCATAAAGAGTAGAAATCGTTGCCTGACTTGGTCTTTTTTTGTAACCATTTTTTGTTGCGACAAGTGCGCTTAATTAGTGGGGGTTTAGCCACCGGGACACGGGAACACGGTGTCTCTAAGGTTCTGTGGCTCTGGGATTCTCCTGTTCTGGTGGATGGGTTCCGGCAGGCGAAACAAGACTAATGTCCGAAAACTGTCATGCCGTTCCTTTGCAGAAGAAGCACAGCAGCAGAAGCAGCGGCAGCCTCCAACATGTGTCCCAAACGGCATTGGCTAGTCAACAAAGCAACGGGAGCGGGATCAGGAGGCTCCAGAGGATCGGGATCGGGAGCGGCAGCTAGGAGCCGGCGCAGTCTAGACCAAATAGTAGAAGTATTAGTAGCCTTAATCTTAGTCAATTGCCTGGCCACGGCGGCAGCGGCGCTGATCACACCGCCCGACAGTCTCGAGTCGCTGTCCCTCGGCTCCTACACCTCTGGCGACTCCTCTGCGGACTCCTCGGAGGATGACGTGACCGGCTTCTACCGCAGCCCCCACCGCCTGGAGGGCTATCCCCAGATGCAGCAGCTCCAGCAGCAGCAGCAGCAGCGCGGCCAAAACTTCAAGATCAGCCCCAAGCCGTGCTCCTTCGGTCGCGTGGAGGGCACCTGCATGTTCGTGTGGGAGTGCATCAAGTCCGAGGGACGGCACGTGGGCATGTGCGTGGACTCGTTCATGTTCGGCTCCTGCTGCACGCACAACTACACCGACAACATTGTCCTGCCGCAGACGGCCTTCTCCTACACGAGGCCCACCAAGCCGCTCACATTGCGACCGCGACCTCCGGCGCCCTACAAGCCCATGATCAGGTGAGCCATCCATCAGGATCTTGAGATTATATAGCTCTTTATCCTAGTAATTACCACTGATCCCAGCTTAAAGTATTACAAGCTTAGTCAAGTCAAATTATTCCCTCTTATTTACCTCCCCGTTCTTGTCCCTTTCACAGCGGCATGACCACCATAGAGCGTCCTCATGGCGCTGGCACCATAGTGATTCGTCCTTCGGGCCCTCACCACCAGGGCACCCTCGCCCGTCCACATCCGCCGCCCTACCAGAGCAAACCAACCACCGCCTCCGACCTGCAGAGCTCCGCCTCGCACCCCAGCTCCAGCTCTAGCTCCAGTTCCGGCTCCAGTTCGAGTCCCAGTAAGTGGGCCTGGCGCCTCCGCCCAACTGTGGTGGTGCATTGTTAGCATAATTTGTAACAAACAAATATTATACACAGATAGCATTTGGCATACATCGACCCAGCAGCAGCAGCATCAGCAGAATCAGCAGAACCACTGGCAGATGACCACCGAGCCGAGCTTTATTACCAAGCCGCGACCCACCGGCTGGACCAAGCCTGGCATCGTCAATTTGCCAATGCCCGCGCGACCCTCGAAGCCATCGAAGCCCACAAAGAAACCGATTGTCTACGAGCGACCACCGCCTCCGCCTCCACCCTCTCCGTCAACGACATCGACGACGTCCCTGATTTGGCCAGGCCAGACGCAGCCGCATCGCCCCACCAGGCCGCAGGTATGTAAATACGAGTCTGCTTCGGGTCCCAGGTTCAGGTTTAGGTTCTGGGTCTCGCTCTTAGTCCGAGTCTGGGTGATGCATTGATGTCGAAAGCGAAACAAACGAGCAACGAGGTCATTTACTCCTCGCACGGCGACCGGGACCGGGACTGGGACTGGGACTGGGCCCCCATAATGGCTGGCCACAGCCTTGGGGGACATTTTATTGTTTGCACAATGCGGAGCCGGAGCCAAAAGTTGATGTAAGATTCGCCTGCCTGCCTGCCTGCCTTCGCCAGCCTGACAATGACGAGGCCACGCTGCTCTCAGGGGTGTGTGTGGAATTCAGAACTCTTCCAGGAAAGAGTATCTCGAGCGGAGCGAGCCACATGTAAACTCCAGGAAAATATTCATTCTAGTTTCGAAGTTTTAATGGGAGTAAATAATGGAAAATACACAACATATTTTACAGAAGAAGGTACTTAAAAGGTGTAAATAATGTTGTAAGAGTCGCCTATTAATATATTAAGTAACCTTGGCTAGGGCATCCAGAATTCCATCTATGAGCCTAGCACAGATCCCACTTAATGCAGATTTAGCGTCGAAATGAAAAATTGATTCTTTGCGTGGAATGGGAATGGTAATCGGAATGGACATGAGGATAAGGCTGAGGCAGAGGCAGGAGGATCGAGAATGGAGAATGATTTGCCACCAGTGCCTGGCCAAGTATTTTAGCATAATGTTTACCACTTTGGCCTGCCTTGCAGCTGTCGCCGGGCACATCATTAGCCGCATCCTCGTCCGCGGTGTGGCCATCAACATCCACTTCCACTTCGACGACATCAACATCCACATCGACAACAACGACTACAACCACTCGGCGGACAACCACACCGGCAACAACCACGACAACAAGGCGAACGCCGGCCAGCAAGCCCACAAAGCCCTACCAGCGGCCCACCACGTCGATCTTGGGTTCCTCCACCTCGAGCTCCAGTTCCAGCTCCACAACAACAGCCCATCCGAGCAAGACACCCACCACGATCGGAAGCACCAGTGGTATCGTCACCAGCAGCAGCAGCCAACGGCCCACGCACCGTCCGCCAGGCCTGGCCACCTCCGGCATTGAGACCAACGAGATAACGGACTCCTCCAGCATGGATTCCGGGGCGCTGGGCCATGTCAAGACCATTTCCGCGGCGCGAAGCGGTAAGTGCCACACCCCTACACATGGCCAAAATCACTTAAGCTTTAGATTTAGACCTCCAAATAGTTTTAAAATTAAATAAGAAAGGAACTACACTTTGGTAAGATGATGTTTGTAATCCCTTATGATGATCTGTTACTTCTGGTTTCCATTTAATCATATCATATTTAATCATTATACCAATGCAAAGCTACTACGTATTATATTAGTCAAAAGCTTTAAAAGTTGTGAAGGAATCATTTCCGACCCCATAAACCATATATATTCTTGATCAGCATCAAAAGCTGAGTCGATCTAGCCATGTCCGGTCGAAAAATAAATTTTTGAAATTTTTTCGAAAATTGAAAATTTTATAAGGGGTTACATCATTAAAATTGTCAAAATTTGACATAAAATTGAATTTTTTAAATTGGAAAACTGAGTATGCAGATGTGTTAACCTAATAAATACAAACATAGGAACGGTTTCCGAATTAAAATTAATGCTCTTTTGGCTTAGTTATGAGATTTTGAAACTTCGATTTGTCGAAAAAATTGTCATATAAAAGTATCGAATATTGTAAGCTTACTTATAATTGATTTCCAATTAAATTCTATAATCCAATTGCAAACTGCAGGGGTAAATAAGCTTTGGCCTCTCGAAAATAATTTATTTTCTTGTTAATGAAGTTTTTGGCGGTACCAAATATGTAAAAACCAGTTAAAGATCACCCATCGAGCAAAATCGAGCTCTGAGATAGCCCTATAAATTTATTTTAGCAAGCTCGAGTTAGAGCTCTAGAGAATAGACCAATAGACGTTTTACCAGTGCGAGTATCTAACTTGACAATGCCATTTGTTATTGCCGCAATTGCAGAGTGCGGAGTGCCGACGCTGGCGCGGCCCGAGACACGGATCGTGGGCGGCAAGAGCGCGGCCTTCGGTCGTTGGCCCTGGCAGGTGTCGGTGCGGCGCACCTCCTTCTTCGGCTTCTCCAGCACCCACCGCTGCGGTGGCGCTTTGATCAACGAGAACTGGATAGCCACCGCCGGACACTGCGTGGACGAGTGAGTGGATCAGCCCAGCCCGAAACCGGACCACATCCAGCTAATCTGCGTTCCCCTTTTCTCCATCCGCAGCCTGCTCATCTCGCAGATACGCATCCGCGTGGGCGAGTACGACTTCTCGCATGTGCAGGAACAGCTGCCCTACATCGAGCGCGGGGTGGCCAAGAAGGTGGTGCACCCCAAGTACAGCTTCCTCACGTACGAGTACGACCTGGCGCTGGTCAAGCTGGAGCAGCCGCTCGAATTCGCGCCGCATGTCAGTCCCATTTGCCTGCCCGAGACGGAGAGCCTTCTAATTGGCATGAACGCCACGGTCACCGGCTGGGGTCGTCTCAGCGAGGGCGGCACCCTGCCCTCCGTCCTCCAAGAGGTGAGTACCCACTGCTCCAGCTCCAGGTGCAGTTTAAACTCCTTTCCAGCTTAAATCTTCAGCGACAATGAAAACCACATCGAATTGAGATATGCTTTTTTTTGTAGTGGGAGATTCTAGAGATTGTGTTTATGGATATTCGGGGAGAGCAAAGGATGGGTGTCCGAGGGGACAACAAAGAACAATATCAAAGAATTAAAAATATATTTTTAATTTATTTTAACGTGAATATATTTCATAAAAAAACCAACACTTTATAATTATGGATAGCTTTTTTAAATCATTGCCCACATAACCTGTATAGCTCATGAGTGGCTTTAAATGTCGCGGATATGACCTTAAAATATTAACTAGACTGTTTAATTAATTTAATAATTAATACATTTCTTCCCTGACCAGGTCTCCGTACCCATAGTGAGTAACGACAATTGCAAATCGATGTTCATGCGCGCAGGTCGCCAGGAATTTATCCCGGACATATTCCTCTGTGCGGGCTACGAGACGGGCGGACAGGACTCCTGCCAGGGCGATTCGGGAGGACCACTCCAGGTAAGACCCATGACAGGTCCACTACCAATAAGCAGAATTATAATCTAGTAACTCTATTTGCCAGGCCAAATCCCAGGACGGTCGCTTCTTCCTGGCCGGGATCATTTCCTGGGGCATTGGCTGTGCCGAGGCCAATCTGCCTGGGGTCTGTACGCGCATCTCCAAGTTCACGCCCTGGATACTGGAGCATGTCAGATGATGATCAGCCTGGTGGACACAATGGAAACGTGAACGATGATGATGATGATGTTGATGATGGCAGTCCGACATTTGTTATTGTTTTAATTTATCAGTTGTATCTTTAAGTCTTGTGTGATTTATCTTAAAGGAATGTTAAGCGTAGTTAGCTTCAATTTAACAATTTTAATAGCATTGACCTTGACTTGGCCTCGTGGGCCACTGCCACGCCTCTGTCCGAACACACAGTCAACGCCCACTAAGTTAGTGTAGCGAAAATATTAGCGCTGTAAGTCTAACACACATATGGGAATCGATCGAGTTCCCGGAGAGGGATTATCTATTTGTACATAGCCGAAGGGATTATCGGGGATAACGGGGGGAAATGGAGAGTCATTTGCATGTCCACAAGTTGTTGGTATTTTAGAAGTAGTAGTAATATTTAACAATTAACTAAATCTATATTTATTGTAAACAATTGCGTGCAGACACGATAACGTTGTCTGTATCTTGCCCAAAGAACAAGTCTATCTATAGCGATGCGAAAGCTCGAGAGCAATAAAAGATAACTGAAAAACATTGTCCAGCATAATGGGAGGCCGTCGAGAGAGATGCCCATCGCCATAAGAGCCGGCTTCCTCTCCAGCCGGCAATCTCCGGCAATTGGGGGCCCCCGAGGGCAGGCGAACCTGAACCATTCACACAATTTGCAGTCATCGCCATGTACGGCTGCGGGCCATCGAAGATGATTGGCACAATCGATTTGTACGCGGGAAGGCAGACGGCATCCGCAGTCACCACTTTCCTCCGGATTTCACTTTTCAACAGCTTTAGCTCTCAGCTCCGCCAGTGACATTTGACTTGACACCAACACCTCGCGAACGGCTGAACAATTAATCACTCGACGCGACTTATGGGAGATTCTGACCTGGGCCACTGCCCACACACGGTACCTGAGCAAGCAATGAGCCGACTTTTCACTTTTAGGACGCGAGGCCAATTTATTTCTGGCAACAAGAAAGATTACCACGAATAGAGATAACGAATTCCAGCTGGATCACATAATCGGATAGAGACTAGGCTCAACTTAAATCGATGCACACTTTACGGCCGGATGGGGGCGCTCCTACTTCTTCTTGGGGAAAATCATCTCCTTGGCCTCGTCGACCAGGTCACCGGCCAAATACTTGAGGTCCTCCAGGGAGGTGGGGAACTTCTGGATGGGCTCAATAGGCACCTCCTCTCCGGGCTTTACGCCCTTTACAAAGTTGTAGGCCACGGCGAAGATCTTGCGTCCCTCGTAGAGCACCACCTTGCAGTTCTCCTCCGCCTGGCGGGGATAGCACAGCGAGGCGACCGCCCCCGCTCCGATGCCAGTGTACAACACCTTCTTGATGAAACCACCGCGGGCACCGAAGATGAAACCTGCGAGACCGCCAACCACAATGGCGCCGCTGCGGTGCATCGAGTTCTGCGGCTCGTTCAGCATATCAATCGTGTGTTGCGCGTGAGCTTTAGCTGTTTCCACGTAATGACCAACAATGCCGGCCTGGTCAGCGACGGATTTGTAGCTATCCTGGACGCTCTCGCGTACGTACCGAACGCCGCCTTCCAGGTTTCGGTGCAGCGCCGAGTCCGCGGGCGCGTGCCTTTCCAGCTTCGGTCTGTGAAGCACATAGAAGGATTAGGGCGGAATTAGGAACAGGAGCTACAGGACACTTACTCTTGCTTTCGCAAGGTACCGTAGATGGGCAGCTCGCTGGGCCGGCACACCAGGCTGCAGTCCGCCATGGAGGAGTTCTGTTTACTGGGCTCCGGCGCTGCTTTTACTGCCACCGCCGCCACGAGTCCCATCGTTGCCGTTTTGCGCAGCATCTCGCAGGTTTCAGCAAAGGATCTAGTGCCTCGCGTGGTAGGTCGATCGTAATTTTGGTCAACTGGTCTAAAAAATCAGTTTTTACCTCATTTGTTAGACATTGCATAACGTGTCATGACACGGAACGACTGCTTGACTCTGCATGAAGTAGAATGGCGTGGAATGACGGAGCGCGTGATAGTGGGTGGCCAGGTAAACAGATGTTGGGAACGGTACCGGTCAGACGAAAAGCCGATATATCTCTATTATGTGAAAATATCTAACAAACAATATAATTTTGTAATAATTTTATTTTAAACATAATGATTAATAGATTATTTATAATTTTATAAAAACCTTTTTAATATAAATTGATAGCGACAATTTACGTTTTTCCGATATGTATCGCTGAACTATTGGACTAGTGCCCTTTTTCGGTATTTTTGAGCATTCCAGGTTCTGGTCTCACCAGTCACAAGACGCGAATTTTTATTCGCTATAAAAACCAAAATAAACCAATTTAAGCCCACTGATAAGCGGACCAGCAATCTTCAATGAAATCACTACCAACAGATAAAATCCCATCGAGCACCTGCAAGCGCACGTCCAGCGGACCGGCCCCAGACGCTCCACCTCGCACCTGTGATTCGGCCGCCCCCAGCCACTTCGTGGTCCGTCGACCGTGGATGTTATCAGCTCCGAGGCGCGCTAAGGCAGAGGCAACGACGACGAGTGGGCGCGCACAAAAGGCCACCGCTCAAGGACGCAGCGTAGGCAGAGGTAGAGCGCCAGCGCCGCAAGGCTACATAGGCATATAAATAAATGAAGGGCCCGGGCCCAGTAACGAACAATGTTTATTGACCATTGATTCCCTTGCAGTTGCAGCGGCAGCGGCAAAGGCAGCGACGTAACCGCGCAACGTGCCCTGAATACAAATAGTTCCCCCATTGGATTTTCTGCCATGCAACGGATGAGGAGCGGCTGACAGCGGAAGAGGCAGCCGTAGCAACAAAAAGACACACCTTAAATAGCGAGCAATATAGTAATTCTAGTCATTAGTTCATATGGATGCTACCGCAAGTTCAAAGTTCAGGTGAGTGGCGGGCTCGAAGTGATAAAGTATCTTTTCACCACAACTTCAACTTTCCCTGGTTTCTGCGGCTAGCGATGTGGACGAGTATGGCTTCAAGCGGGGCGAGCACTTCGACTACAAGAACTACGGCAAGTTCATGGACGGCTACCTGAAGACGCTGACGCGCCGCCGCATGAAGTGGGAGGCAATACTGCAGCAAAACACCGATCTCAGCCAGATGGACCCCAAGCTTAAGCGGTATATACGCAAAGGTATACCCGGGCCGTACCGTCCCGACGTCTGGATGAAGATATCCGGCGCCGCCGCCGCCCAGCGCCGCTCCCCGGATCTCTATCGCAGTCTGCTTAATGCAGAGCCCTACAACAAGGAAATCAGTGATTCCATATCAATCGATCTACCTCGTACCTTCCCCGACAATATTCACTTCGACTCGAAAAAGGAGCGTCTATACAACATCCTCATCGCCTATGCCCACCATAACAGGGATGTGGGCTACTGCCAGGGCCTCAACTACATCGCCGGGCTGCTGCTCATTGTCACCGACGACGAGGAGAAGTCCTTCTGGCTACTTAAGCATATTGTGGAAAATATTGTACCGCAATATCATTCGCACAACATGGCCAACCTGCTGAGGGACCTGGCTGTGTTCCGGGAACTGGTCATCAGGCGGATACCCGCCGTAAATCGTCTTGTGGAAAACCTGGGTGAGTGTGCAGTGCGGCTAAGTTCGAGTTTATAATTATGTTATGTTTATTCACATTTAAATGACAGGTCTGCCCTATCCGGTGATTGCCAGCAAATGGTTTATCTGCATATTTGCGGAGGTGCTGCCCGTGGAAACTGTGCTACGCATCTGGGACTGTGTCTTTGCCGAGGGTCACAAAATTGTTTTTCGCGCCGCGCTGGCCATGTTCATCACACACAAGAACGCCATTTTGGGATGCGACGACATTGCCGCCCTGGCCAATCTATTCAGGGACACCATGATCCAGGACAGCGTTGTGACCGACTGTCACGGTTTTGTGCAAGCCATGTTTAGCTTGCGTCTGAAACGGAGCGAACTGGAGAGCTTGCGTAAGGTGGCCGTGCTTAATCCGGCTTAGGATGCCTCCGCCAACCAGCAGATCAAATTGAAATAGCAAAGAAACCAAAATAACAAATTGGAGAAGCAATCGAAAAATTCAATTATTAGGAGCGTAGTTCAACTTTGTCATTGCGTACGTACATATTCATATAATTGTGAGTGTTCATTATGTAATCGTCTCTATATAGTGCGCGCATTTGTATTACCATTGCCGACCAATATTGTAGCCAAGGCCAAAACAATTCGAGTATTAGCCAAACGAAATCAAAACGAGTTACCAAAGCGAAATTTCGAAACAGAACAGAAAATAGCTTAATTATTTAGCCGCATATGTAGTAGGAGTAGTAGCCAAAAGTTTCTAGTTGATATCTTCCGTATGTAGAGCATGTAGCGGAGTACATGTCCTGTCATTCGCGAGCGCATTTAGCCCACGTTTCACACCACAACTGTTTTGTGTTCTTAGTTCTCGGTTTTGTTGTTGATCAAAGTAAAAGGAGTATTTATTTTCGAGTATATGTGTATGTACTTTGATAGGGGCTATGTGTAAATGTCTACGTCTAGATTAAACACACTTGTATTTACTTTTTATATATATATATAATGCTTTTAAAGTTGTTACATAGTTGCCTAACTGGAAAAACGTCTGTTAGCCGCAATCTAATACTCAATACTATTTACAAAAGATTTATCCTGAAATATGATTTGAGGAATTGATTTGTAAATGCATTATCCCCAACGGCCTTTGAACCCAATAACTAACTAAACTATTCCGGAACTGGGAAAAGGGCTTCAATGGCCGGCGGGTTTTGTATTTCTTTTGGATGCAGCCAATATGCTTTTCAAATAAATTACTACTGCTAACTGTTAGTAACTGTAGAAATCTGTACAGCCTTAAACTAATTTCGGAGGTCTACAACAAAACGGGGAAGACTTTGGAATCTCAAAGGGAAGATCATAAGTTTGAGGGGCATTGCTTTCAGCGCTGGGTATTCCATAATAAATCGGTCTAGGACTATGACTTCATGGCATTCCACAATGAGCACCGCACATGGGCTCCGAGGACAACGCCAGAGAGGTGAGCAATGTTCTGCGACCAGGATGGACACCCAGATTCTCCCAGTTGATCCAGGACAAGCGGGCTGTGAGATCTGCAAAGGAACTCTGGTCTTAGCAAGCTCATTTGTGATTCAAGCAAACCATTCTACGTACCACTCGTATTCCAATTGGCGCGATCAGCTTTGATTTCGCCCCGCAGACACTTCTCCACGTAGGTCAGCGGATCGTAGTCGGTTTGGAGCACTTCACGCAGCAGCGATATGTATGCTATGGCCAGTCGCAGGGTGTCGATCTTGCTCAGACGCTTCTCGTACGGAAAGGTGGGCACATGGACCCGCAGCTCGTCGAAGGCGGAATTGATGCTACTGCAAGACGCAAGGAAAACCCAAAAAGAGAGACCAAGGAACGCTCGTTAGTTAACCAATCAAGGTCTAGGTTCTGCGACAGGAAGATTTAAAATGGAAAAGACCATTTGGTGTACCCAGTTGGTGCGGACCTCTGGATGCGTTTCCTTTCCCGCACATTGGCCGCCTGTCGCTGCATTTTGTAGCTGGACGCAGATGCTGCGCTCACGGAACCGTATCCAGGATTGGGGCCACTGCCACCTACTCCGCCCGGAGTGCCTGATCCTCCGTTGCCACAGCCTCCTCCTCCTCCGCTGCTGCTGGCACTGGGACTGTTGCACATCAAGGGTGCTCCACCGCCGGAATTGTGCACTCCCATGGAACTGGTTGAGGAATCCAGAAGGTTCTCTGCGAGATGGAAGTTGGGCTTAAGAAAATGCACATTTACAGACTAGGATTCAGTGTTACCTCCGCTGTGCTGCAGATAATGCTGCTGGATGTGGCGCAGATTATTTGAGCTCAGACGCAGCCCTGAGTTACCACTGCCACCTCCTGACCCGCCAGCACCTCCACCTCCTGCGGCACTCCCTCCTTGATGCTGGCCAGCATAAATGCAGGACGGCAAATCATTGATCAAGTCATCATCAAAGTTGTGAAAGGGTAAGTGGCTAAGGGGGAAACGAAGTGTGTGTTAGTTACAAACTATATTTTTGGATTTGGAAGAACTCGATCTGTATATATGTATTTTTAAGCAATGATAAACAATAAAGGAAGCTATCTTGGGGTAACCAAAGTTTGATTGCAGCTTGAAATTGGATCAGGTAACCGCATCCTAAATCGATCATAACTTTGCCAAAAATGCATTAATTTCAGTTCGGAAAGCATTTCTGTCCTACTTTTTATTGGGTTAACAAATCTGCATACTCAAATTAAAAATTTAAAAAATTAAATTTTATGTCAAATTTTGACAATTTTAATGATGTAACCCCTTATAAAATTTTCAATTTTCGAAAAAATTTCAAAATTCTATTTTTCGACCGGACATGGCTAGTTTGATTCAGCTTTTGATGCTGATCAAGAATATATATGGTTTATGTGGTTGGAAATGATTCCTTCATTGCGTTATAAGCTTCTGATTAATACTAATACCCTGCAAAAAGGTATAAAACTGGCAATTTTTTCGAATTATCAAAGTTTTCCAAACCTCGTAATAAAACTAGAAATGCATTAATTTCAAATCGGAAAGCTGTTCTGTGTCAGTTTTAAAAGCGCTAACAAATCTGCATACTGCGTTGGTTGATGCTGTTAAAAAATTCTGCCTAAATTTTTAATAACCAGCAAAAAGGTATAAGAACATGCCATTTTTTTAAGTAATCAGTGTTTTTCAAACATCATAGTTAAGCCAAAAATGAGTTAATTTCAATTCGGAAAGCTTTTCTATGGTAGTTTTTACTAGATCAACAAATCTGCATACTCAGTTTTCAAATTTAAAAAATTCAATTTTTTGTCAAATTTTGGCGATTTTAATGATGTAACCCCTTATAAAATTTTCAATTTTCGAAAAAATATCAAAATTGTATTTTTCGACCGGACATGGCTAGTTTGAATCAGCTTTTGATGCTGATCAAGAATATATGTGGTTTATAGGGTCGGAAATGACTACTTGACCGTGTTGGACTAAAATTATAATACCCTGCAAGGATAGAAAAATCTGGAACAAAGTAACGGAAATTATTTAAATTACTTATTTTTCCATTCCTTTTAGAGCGGTAAAAACTTATCTAGATATTTATAACACTTTTTAAAATAAACTAAGGAGACATTAGAGGCTGTCAAGTTTTTATATAATTATCTGTTAGAGCCCTTTTTGGGTTACAAAGGGGTTAGATCACTGAAATTGTCAAAAATTATTATGAACTATTTATTTATTACAACTTTTTGAAGTTATGATCACTTTCAAATTGGGCCCCTGGTCCAAATACAAACATCAAAGGTATAGAAACATCGGCTTCTTTAATTAGTTAAATGTTTAACTTCCGGCGGTAAAAAGTAAATAAAGCAACCCATTTAAGTGAATTTTTCTTAATTTTTTGCACTTATTTCAATACAATTTAAATAGCATTTTAAACGATATTCAATAATTGGAACAATCTAAAATTAAAAAACTAACAAGTTAAATAGGAAATAACATTTTTAAATGTTGTAAAATTACAGTAATATTATAGGAAAGATCTTTTTTTATCATTTATAAAGTTCCGTATAAAAAAAAAAACCTCACCTAATGGGCGGCGATGAGGACGAATCCGGCAATTGATTTCGCGACATTATTTCACTACTAATATTGCACTTTGTATATCCTTTTTTAACTGCACTTATTTTCAGCTAAACGGCACTTCCTTTGGACACTTCCGTTGCCCAATAAGTTAAAATTCCCAATGAGTCCATCTCCCGGGAATTGCGAGCCTTTTATAGTGCCGCAGTTCCAATTGGAATACCAGTGCTGCGGCCAGGACTTCTTCAACCCCCGAGTATCCTGGCAGCCAGTGGTAGTGCGCTCAACTCGATGGGCGGAGCTTGTCAAGTACAGGAAAGTACAGGGTGTTTGCCTCTTGCGAACGGAGCGGATGCTGTGGGAAAGCTGGTGGACTAACCCGAAAGAAGTTACCCTTTAATTGCTGGGCGTAGATTTGGATTTGGAGTTAATTATGGTAATTGATTGCCTAGGCTTGAAAACAACTATTTTTACCTATTTAATAATAATACCATATAAAATCGTATAAGTTTTTAGTTAGTCCGATAAAACATTTGTAAAACAACAAGAATAATAAATAAAAGGATATATTTTTTATTAAAAAGTTTCCTACTTTTCAAATTTATGGGGTAGGGCATCTCTAGGTTATTTTTCCGCAAACCCAACTTTGCAGGCCACTCCCCTCAGGATTTCAGCACCAGCATTCGCTTTGTGCTTTCCTTCACCTGTTTTTGACAGTTTGCCATTATACTTCGCCCAGCAGGAAGCCGCCATGTTTGTGTCCACAGCTTTGATGGCGGGAGAATGAATCGGAAAGTAAAGTCGCAGGAGATGGGAGACAGCTCTAACCCTACCCGAGGCAACCCTATCACATCCCCTCTTAAAGTCAATTTTTGCAGACATATGGGTTTTTAAGGCTCGCAATAAATCCTTCCTTTAAAAGTCTGCCAGTAATCGGAGAGCATTATAAGGGCATAGGGTAACCTGTTGATCTGACTCCATACTATAGCTGTATTCCCACGGGATCAGGAACCAGAGCAATTAGATCCAAGGCAGAGATAGAGCTGGCCGCTACATTTTACGGATCATTTACCCTAACCAGAACCAGAAACGGGATCAGGAACCACTCGAAGCCGCAGTCGTCACGGTGCAATTGTTGAAATTGAATTATGTTTATTTGATGTTTTGGTTTCCTCGCAAATTAGCCACGTCAGATCCGTCAGCCCCGCCCAGCCGGGCGACCGGGTCGCGTGCCCTAACCCGAGGCGCGAAAATCCGGAGCACTGCGATCCGGCGAACAAAGGCCGGCAATATGTCGGGGCGGATGCGCAAACCTTTTCATTACCAGACAAATTCGTCGTCGCACGCGTCGGCGCACACTTCACACACCCCGCACACCCCACACACCCCAGAGCTTCAGGCTCTGATGACAGTAATCAGGTTTGATGGAGGGTAAGTGCCCGGGTCCGGTGCAGAGCCAGCGATTGAGAGCGCCAGATAGGACCGTGCCGACGGGCACAAAGCTGACATCCTTAAGTGAAATCTTGTTACAAACCAATGTAAACACGATTGTTAATTTAACTTTTGCGATTGCCGCAGGAAAACCGCCCTGCAAAGGACTGGCACTGGTACTGGTACTGGTCGTAACCCTAAATTGTCATCGCACCACAATTAAATTATCGCATTTCAAACGAGTGCACCCAAGGAAGTGTAAGTCGCGGACTGTGGGAAACCCAAAAATAAATAGAATAAATATCTAAAGTCCATTTGATTTGCATATAAGAGCATTATCCACCAGGAACAGGCCAATCTGTAACCCAAAAGTGAGGTGCCTAATTAAGTTGCTAGCTTTGTGTGTATGTGGGAAGAAGTTAAGCATTCAACTTTGAACTTTAATTTGAGGGAAATTCTAAGCAAGCACGTCTGAGATAAGATAGTATATATGGGCTATCATTGATATAAAACCAATTTCAGATTTCTAATATTTTATTATTATCTCTGGCAAAACTCTGTAAGAGTAAGATTGGCTATTTTGAATTCGATTATCATATTGATTAAAGCTAAGCTAGGAGGTGATATTTTCTGTTGATAGTTTAAAGGAGTAATAGATCAAAGTTCGCTTTCTAATCAAGGTGGGTGGCGCTTGGCGTGCTAAAAAAAACTTCTTTGACTTTGATTATTTTTAAAGAAATCATGAATTAATAATCTACGATCTAGGCGCAGTCACGTCGGAATAATTGAATCAAATGGTTCTCACACACACACACACAATGGCAAATACGTCGAAAAACAGATTGATGGTGTCAAGGAGTTGGTGCACCCATCAACCGCAGGCCAAATCGCTGACAAGGCCGCTCTACAAAGGACCCTTGTCTGGTACATATCGATTAGCGCCCAGAGAGCCAAACCAGAGCAAATCCATTCTGAGAGTCTGTGTAGCGGCACACGACCAAGCCCAAGCACCAAACACTTTTCCGCAAGGATAATCCCACCCCGCTCCCATCGCAAGTCCTCTCACCCAACTTCATCTCGACCACAATTCGCTGCGGCTGCTCTCAACTGCCTCGCAGCAATTGTCTGTGAAATTGTTTGTTTATTTTGATGTTGTTTAATGCGTGCTAAGTCCCATTCGCCGTGCCCGAGTAGATCCTGGGAAAAGCAAACATCCTTAGCGCCAGTGCCTGAGGTGAGTTTCTGATTGAAAATTTGCAAGCTTTTCATTGAGCTTACATTGGAAAATTGGTTATAAAAATGTCTGTCGGGATGTGGCTACAAGCTTTTTAGTTGGGGCTTCTTCTTGTGCTTTTTATACCCTGGCAAGGGAATTTTCATGTTAGTCAGAAGCTTCAAAAGCTGTGAAGGACACATTTCCGACCCCATAAATCATATATATTCTTGATCAGCATCAAAAGCTGAATCAAACTAGCCTTGTCCGGTCGAAAAATAAAATTTTGAAATTTTCCGAAAATTTAAAATTTTATAAGGGGTTACATCATTAAAATTGTGAAAATTTGACGAAAAATTGAATTTTTTAAATTTAAAAACTGAGTATGGAGATTTGTTAATCTAGTAATAACTAGCGAAGAACAGTTTTCCGAATTGAAATTAATTCATTTTTGACTTATCCATGATGTTTTTAAAAACAATGATTACTTAAAAAAAGGCCTGTTTTTATACCTTTTTGCAGATTATTATAGTTTTAGACCAAATCTTTTGACAGCATCAACAAACGCAGTATGCAGATTTGTTAGCGCTATTAAAACTAACACAGAACAGCTTTTCGATTTGAAATTATTGCATTTTTGGCTTTATTACAAGATTTGAAAAACTTTGACTATTCGAAAAAATTGCCAGTTTTTATACCTTTTTGTAGGGTTTTAGTATTAATCAGAAGCTTATAACACAATGAAGGCATCATTTCCGACCCCATAACCCATATATATTCTTGATCAGCATCAACAGCCCAGTTGTTCTGGCCATGTCCGGTCAAAAAATAAATTTTTGACATTTTTCCGAAAATTGGAAATTTTATAAGGGGTTACATCATTAAAATTGTCAAAATTTGTCAAAAAATTAAATTATTTAAATTTAAAAACCCAGTATGCAGATTTGTTAACCAAATAAAAACTAGCATGGAACAGCTTTACGAATTGAAATTAATGCTTTTTTGGCTTATCCATGATGTTTTTAAAAACACTGATTACCTAAAAAAATTGCCTGTTTTTATACCTTTTTGCAGGTTATTATAATTTTATTCCGAGTCTTTTAACAGCATCAACAAACAAACAAAGTATGCAGATTTGTTAGCGCTATTAAAACTGACACAGAACAGCTTTCCGATTTGAAATTAATGCATTTTTGGCTTTATTACGAGGTTTGAAAATTCGAAAAAATTGTCGGTTTTTATACCTTTTTGCAGAGTATTAGTATTAATCAGAAGCTTATAACACAATGAAGAATCATTTCCGACCCCATAAACTATATATATTCCTGATCAGCATCAAAAGCTGAATCAAACTAGCCATGTCCGGTCGAAAAATAGAATATTGAAATTTTTTCGAAAATTGAAAATTTTAAAATTGTCAAAATATGACAAAAAATTGAAATTTGTTAAATTTAAAATTCAGTATGCAGATTTGTTAACCAAATAAAAACTAGCATGGAACAGCTTTACGAATTGAAATTAATGCTTTTTTGGCCGAGTTATGACATTTTAAAACTTTGGTTTGTCGAAAAAATTAGTTTCCATTCTTCTTTTAGGGATAGCTTTGGTCTATATTATAACCCAAAATAAACAAGTTCTCTTTTTCTATAAGAGTGATATTCATATACATAATTGTGAGAAATTTAGTTATATTATGTTTTCTAATTTAAGCAAAGAATGCAGGACCTCGTCGTTTTTAAAACTGATTGATAAATTCATTTTGTAATAAGAACGTATTGTGTATCTACTCGAAAATCAAACAATCTGTTATTGATTGTATTCCCTCAGTGTATTAACACTTAAAATGCAAATAAAGTCACCAATAAAGTCAAATAAAAAGTTTCGTAAGAAATACTGCTTATTTGCGTTTTTGTGAGCGTTCAAAATACCATAATTCAAGTGAAATACTTCGGAAATATCGAGGTTTCAGGTGGATCAACCTGTCCCCGATTTTTGGCCAACTTCAGCACGCTTCTCTAGAATTTGCATATCTTTCGAAAACCCAACTAAATCACGCCGAAATAAGTACTGATGCCCGGGTTCAATGGGGTTCAGAGATTCATTCGCGGATGACATTCAGCTGTCGCCCGCGCGCACTTCACATCGCCTCTCAATGGGCAAACATGCGAGCTTTTTAGCTCCCAGACTAGCAGTTAGTGATCAATGAACGTGTAAATACATTTTAATGCCGTTCTTTGTGTTAATTATAAAACAAAAGCAATACAAACAGGCGGCACGAAAAACACGAACAAAAACTTAACTACTAGATGGGTGCATGCCGATCTTTAAATGCTCTCAAATTGCTGTGAATACATTTTGAAGTTAAATATTAAATGTACAAGTTATTTACTGTAATTTGTATGAGATTATGCCCATTTTTTTGTTTATCTAGAATTTCTATCTAATTTATTTTCATATTTTTAAAGGCTGTTTATTAAATATTACTGTAACAATTAATACAACTTAAACCGAACAACACAAACTTGTCATTTCAGAGATAATTTTTTAACAGAACTGGAAAATCGATACATAAAGATTTATGCTATTTCGAAATAGTATTTTTAAATTGTAAGCCACAGGTGTTTAAGTTTTTTCTATTGACTTTTAAAGAGCTTTTCAGTACACGCACAGATAAGTGCTTAGGAGAAATAGTTCTGAATTGCAAAAGACTATGGAATCTAATGCATACCCTACATGATTATATTGTATATATTCTCCTTTGATACTGTGTTAATAGCCGAATTTCGTTCGGGCTTCGGGACGTTTTTAAGCACCAAAAATATTCGCATAATACCCTCTGCAGCGGGGTGTCATCGCCGAGTCGAAAATTTCGCTAATCGCGACCGAAGGCGACGCCAATTCGCTTTAGCTTCTGGTACTGACCAGCCAGTCAGCAGTCACTTGTCCAGTCGCCAAGTTGCTCAGTTAGCCACCGTCCGCCGCTGGGTTCGCACGTTGCGTCAAGAAGAAACACTCCCGGATTGAGTGACCCGGGTTTTATCGGGAACCCATTGACCATTGGTTATTGTTCTGGAACCCCTCGAGGAGGAACTAATGCCAGCGAATGCCAACACGTCTGGCCAATTTCGGGCAATTGGAACGTGATTTATGTGGGGCAACCGAGCGCGGTTCCGACTCCGATTCCGATTCCAAGTGGCGGCCCCCCCGCATAGAGCTGGGGATCTGGGATCCGCACGAGTGTCGCTGGTCAGTGTCCAACGGAACCCAGCCAATGCCGGTTTGATAAGCCCCTCGAAAGTGATTGATAAGAGCGCGGGTAGAGGCGCCAAGTCGTAAATGAAGTGAGCCAAAAGCTGAAACTGAAATTGAATAAACAAATAGAAAACGCCCGATAATAATTAGTGTACAATCAACCGGATAAAAGGCAGCAAAATGGCAAAGCGTGCTAGCTTAACCCATGACAGCCCGTCGCTGGAACTGGAGTTGCCGCTGCTGGCGCCGCAGGAGCGGAGTTCGCGGAGCAGGAGCGGGCCAAGTGAGTATGCCACCCTACCATGTGGTCTCGTCACACCTCCCTCCCTCCCAGTTGTGCCATTAAACCAGTTAACTTGGTCAAAACAACTGGCTAACTGGCACACCACACACACACTGGCCATAAATCAGTGACACTTGCACGTTGCAATGCAACAGCCGGAGTTGGGGGGCCACGAAGGGGCCATGCTATACCGCGGACCTCGCCATGTATTCCCAATACCCCTGCCAGATCGAATCTGAATAGGAATTATTTGTATTCCCATTTAATTTATGGAAATCGTGTAGCGCCAATCCAATTAGAATATTGCCAATAAAAACAAGCGCGACACAAGTCCCGCCTGAAATTGAAACCAAAACTCTGGACCAAGTCGAGCCCCTCCCCGTCTGCTATTTCTATTATTTATTTCTATATGTCAACAATGTTGATACCCTACCCCTACCCCTACCCCTTTCCATCGTTTTGTTGTTGTTGTTTTTGGTTCATTGATAAAAGCTCGGCGTCAGTTAATTCCCCACTCAAAAGCTAATTATTTCTGTCGTTTGTGAATTAAAAATAAACCCAGCACATTTGCCCACATCTGCTCAAGCAAACAACAACAGTGATACAAGCCAAATAAAATAGAAGTAATGTTTGTTGTGCAAAAACATTGTAAAACAAAAGAGGAAGCTAACTTCGAAAAGAAGCCAAAGTTTGTGTACCCTTACGTTTAGCAATTGAATCTAAAGATAATTTATTTGGGAAAATCAAAATTTAAAAATATCATAACTAAGCCAAAAATTTATTTCATTAATTTCAATTCGGAAAGCTTTTTTATTAGGTTAATAAATTTGCATACTCAGTTTAAATTTTAAAAAAGTTATTTTTTTTTGTCAATTTTTGACAATTTTAATGATGTAACCCCTTGTAAAAATTTGAAATTTTGAAAATTTTATTTTTTGACGAGACATGGCTAGATTGACTCGGCTGCTGATACTGATCAAGAATATATATGGTTTATAGGGTCGGAAATGAATCCTTCAAGCTAAAAGAGTACCCTTGCAAGAGTATAAAGATAAAGAAACACTTTCTATCGCATGCCAAATGTGAATAATCGCATGCGAGAAATTATGTCTTTGCTTTTCCAGCTGTGAATGAAAGCTTGATTAGGTTGGAAAATACGAAGGGAAAACTGATAAATAAACATTATATATATTGGGAAACAAAGATTTGAGCTTAGGAAGAATTTTAGAAGAATTTTATGAACTGATGATGATGAAAGCAAAGGTGTTTATTGATCTTCATTATCTAACATACTTTTAAGTTTTAGAAATAAATGTTTAGGGACCAAATTCATAGCTAATAAATGGCATGTTTAAGAAATGCAGATTTGAAGGTTAAATTAAATTAAAACAAAATTGTATTTATTAAAACAAACAGCTTTTCTAATTAATTCGATCATTATAAAATCAATTATTTCTTTAGTCACTTGTGCCAAAAATAGTTCTTATAGCTGCCCCATTGCATTCTGTGACGAATTCTAAAATTAACTAGAGCAATCATTCAAAATTCTTTATTGACAACAACCTGCCCGATGACAAATTTATTATATTAGCTATAAGAACATGTCTTTGTTATTCGTTAAAAATTGGCCTTGGTAGGGGGGGGGGATTTCCGCCGCATTGGTAAGTCAACAGGATGCATGATTATGATGTACACTTACGACGAATTTAATTGGGGTGGCCCCCTCAATGAATCATGTGTACACATTTAATCAAAATATTTAGATGGTACCAATCCCAAGTTGGTAAATACTGATAGAATATTGAAATATTTGGCGAAGATATATAATAATTTAAAGTTCAAGCTTGATTTCACAATTAGCGCCGTTTATGGCACTTAATTAGCAACAATTTACCCAGCGGACAAGGAATCTTGTTTGTTATCTTCGATTTGAATGGAACGAAGCAAAGCTGGCTGGGCAACTTTGTCTTCGTTGGCTTTATTCAAAGCAAATAAATAATACATTTTCGCGTAATGAGACAAACTAACAATAAACAAGCGGCAGACCCCATGGCCCCGGCAGTCATAAATCAATCATAAACCGGCACACTTTGTAGCCGAATTCCGTCAACAATTATTCGGACATCGTAGAGAGGAAAAATCATACAGATGGAGAGCTTTCGATCTCTCTCCATCTCTGCCAATAGTATTATAAAACACAAAAATATGGGTCGCAGAAAATTGCCATTAAACAATCATCATCAACTAACCATCCCGAAATAAATACGGGCAACAAAAACAAAGGCAAACATCAGCGCCACAGAAGTGTCAACAAATTGTCAGAATTATATTTGATGTGATCTATCAGGCAAATTGTTCGCGACAAACAGGCATTAGCCAGAAAACCCCCGTCGATTGTCGAGTGATGAACGATTCTCTCGGCACGCTCCGCCGCTCTCCGATCGAGTCTCCCAGCGAGCGGTGTCGGTGTAACTGCAGTTCAAACACCAGAGATATAGGAACCATAGGAACCATTTCCATTTGATCAATTGATTAATATCATTACACCTCAAACGGAAACGGAAAGGGGTTGGCGGGAACAGGGGTTGCAGCTTGGGTTTGTTTATGCCGAAGCTTGCATACCCTTTCCACTTATAGTACGTTTACATCTATTAACATATACAATTTAAATAAATCTCATCAAAGAACATACTTACTGTATGTGCTATAGCTCATATAGCTATCATTTCTTCACTATACTAAGTTAATAGAATAGCTCCAGCGAGTAATTATTAAAACTTCAGTCTTGTTTACGGGTGGAGTATATACTCTTCCATAATTTAAACTTCTGTTTAAGATCATTAGTTTTAACAACTCTTCCTTAATGATATACCTAACACCTGTGTCACAAAGTAATAATTAAAAGTAGAAGCAATTTCATAAGTGATTATTGTTCAAGTGCCTGCTGAGAAGGGTGCTTTAGAGCATCATTAATCCAAGGAACTCTTCTTTTATGGCAGTGTAGTGGCAGTAATGCTGAGTAAAGCAATAGGTGCCGGCGATTAAATAACAACAGCAACAGTTTTGCGCGCCACGCGAACCCAAAGGCCGAAGAGCGCGCTCTTAAGCTAAAAAAAAAAGCCCCGAGTGGGGCTAAAGAGAGCGCGCATCAGGCGCTCGATGTCGCCGCAAAGAATGGTCCAAGTTCGCAGCAGGATGCGAGCATCCGAGTAAAGCATCGTGTCCCCACAGCAGCAACATCTGCTGGCGTCGCTGCCTTGGGGCCGGCAGCGAGGGAGCAGCAGAGGCGAAGGTTATAAAAGTGGTTCGCCGCAGAGACGAGCGCTCAGTTGCTCTTGGTCAGTCGCCGTGTGATGTGCTTGGTTGCCACAACGGAACAGCCGTCGTCCGTGGTCGTCGTCGAATCGCATTCCCATCCTCAGCCATAGCGTCTAGGAAATAGTGCGAATCAAGAGCAGGAAGCAGCGGTCCGTGGTCCGTGGTCCATGGTTCGTGGTTCGTGGTTCGAGGTGCGAGATTCGAGACTCGAGAATCGAGATCCGTGGCGTGGGAGCGGGAGCGTGTGGGTGCGTGAGTGCGCATAGTATAAAATTAAATAAACGAAAAGAAATGAAACGAAATGAAACAACAGCAACGGCAGCAACAAATGCGAGTGGCAACAATGATGCTATATATACTGATATACCAAGATGAGATGGCCAGAGCGATGTGCCGATATATACGGACGCTGGGACTCATGGTTCTGGTGCTGTTCCCTCCCAAGACGGGCGGCCAGACAATGTTTGGACAAGTCATAAATAATGGGAGCGAGCAGCAGCAGCACCAGAGGCATCGGCGGCCCACACAGCCCTGGCTGAAATTTCATAATTTCCATTCGCTCTATTATTATTAGTATTATTATTATTATTGCTTGACGTTATTATTTACTAGAGTGCCGTCGCTCATTGGTCCACTCGTGTTTGTTTCCAAATTGCAAATTGCTGTTGGTTTAGCGGAAAACGCGCGCGAATAATTTGCCCCGCAATCCAAAGCCTGCAAAGGCCGCACCACGCTGCGTATGAGCAATGAAAATGCATCCGAATTCATGCACGCCACCGGACCACGTGTCGTATGCGTAATGCCGCTTTAGCCTTATCGTATTTTTCCCAAAAAAAGAGACAGCAACGTAGACGCTCGTAAAATCAGACAGCAGGAGCGAGGGAACGGGAAGGGGATGGGGATCGGGAACTGCTGCCTGATTTTATGTTATGTGTCAGTTTCCGTTTAGTGCGCTTCTCTGCCCGTAAATTTATTCCAAACGTAAACGCAAAAAAGCGAGAAAAATAAAGAAAAATACTACTACTACTACTACTCAAAAAAAGGGGAGAAAAACAAACAAAAACACAAACGACAAACGTGCGACGGATTTCCGCGCCAAGACACCATCAAAACAAAAGCTCCAGCAACAGGAAGCGGGCTAGGAAGTCGCCATCAGCCATCTGAGCCATCAGCCTGCCAATTGTGCAGCAGGACGCGTGCTGCAGGATTGCCTGCGCCTGTGCCTCCCGCAGCAGCAGTAGCAACATCAGTAGCGGCTATACACTAGCAGGAGCAGCAACTTGGTTTTTTTTACATCCATAAGGTAAGCTCATTACGGACACAGGCTGCCTCGTAACGTTGACAAGGCAACCAAGAGCAGAAAGTAAATTATCAGAAAAGATAACGACCACAGAATACCGGGTCCTTAAATCATGCCTTCCTTTTCAAAGGAACTTTACTTTAGTGGATTCAGTAAAATGTTTCTTGTTTTGGTATTATTTGTATTATTTGGTTATGAGGAATATCATGGATATATTTATATATTTTTCATTTCTTGACACGATGTACGATATACCCATTAACTCTCCGAGTCTAAGGTATAGCCAGTGTGTGAGTGCGATAGTCCTGGGATCCTTGCTCGCGGACGTGCCGCCAGCGACGTTTGCTTTGCTCTCCTTTGTTTGTTTATTTGTGCGCCTTTT